CCCCGGACTATGTTTAATCATCTCAGTGTTGTTCTTCTTTTTCACTTTGTTAAGAAGCTCCTGTCTCCATCTCCAGACTGTTGTTCGTTTCTCCACTTGGATGTGGAGGAAGGTAGTTCACCATCTCATAACATAGGAGGCCTACTTGTTCTCCCTGATGACACAAGTGTTGAAACCCGTCAATCTGTCCTCCCTCAACTGTCCTCAACTGTCCACTGTATTGGCTCGTCCTAAGAATTGGTTCCCTCTGGAAATGAACAAACACAATTTGTGATATCAAAACAATGATTTTTAAAATATTTACCCCCAATTTTATATTACATCAAGAATAGAGAAAAACAACATTATGTCATGCATATATAGATTTCTACTTGCCTAAATTGTTTTGGATGGACACAAATCCCACCTGGATCCAGAGCTGGTCCGGGTGGCACAGAGGGGGGAGGTCATTCTCCTGTGCCTTCCACCACACACTTCTCACATCCTGCAGCCTCTGGATATGAGTTTCTTTGGACCCTTGAATGCAGATTTCTCTTGAATTACAGGAGATCTGTCGACAATGAGCCACTCCTTGGTTTCCAAGAAGGAGTTTTCAAGGGTCCTAAGAGACTCATATCAGAGGGTGAAGGATCCGGGAGTGGTGGTGGCTGGGTTCAGGATGTGTGGCCTCTACCCTCTGGACCCGGAAGCCATTGATTGGTCACGGGTCATGCCATCCGGGCCACGGCATGGGACCTCCTCGCCACCTCGGCCAACCACATCAGCATCTTCCTGGGCCATGCCTGATGTTACCCACCAATTTAAAACATATATATATATATATATTTTTTTTTTTTTTCTATGAGTAGGTCACACCACTAGAAGGAGTATGGAAGATCTGTGTGGCCAGTGCAGGGAACTTGACCCTCCGGGTGTCAGCTCGGAGGGATTAGTGCCGTAGGTCCAGAGTGACAAATGCACCAAATGGTTTCATACCATTTGTGTCGGCTGGGAGGAGCTGGACAAAGACGAGTTTTAGTGTTTTTGGTGTCTTAACATGTTCGATAAGTTTGTTATTTAATTTGTTTTTAATTTGATTCTTCTGTATATATTGGTTTGTTTTTTTGTCCTGTCAAGATGTGTGTTATTTAATAAAATATTTTTTCCATTTCTCCACTAGTTTGTCTTTTGATTAAATTATATAATTTTATGCATGAACATTTATTTGTTATATGTGTATTAGTAATTGCTAAATTAAATGCATCAGCTTGTATTTTACAAGTGAGAAAATATCCAGTAGGTGGCAGTATAGCTTCACTGCATAAATTAGAGTTGTTAAAGCATTGTATCTTATTTTGAAGAAGGAAAGTACGATCCCAGATGAGTTGATGTTAGTTTGTCAGTCTCAGGAACAACTTAATACCCCCATAAAACCAGCAGCGTTCAATGTTTACAGTGAGCGGACGCGGCCGTTCAGCTCGGGACACGGCTAAATCACCGGCGTTAGCATCCTTTACCGACTCTAGTAAAGACGGGGCAAAAGTCTTAAAAAAAAGTTAAAATGATACACGGTTAGAAAGGTAAGAAGTTCGTCTTTACTTTAACACCTTAAAATCAACCGAAACCATTACACGATCATTTAACTTAGTAGTTAACCCTTTAGGTGCCGGGTTTTATTTTTAAGAATACTAGATTTTGACATCTAAATTTCAGAAGGCTCTGGCTTGAAAGTGGTTTGAGATAGAGACAAAGTGTAAATGAGACAAATATTGAGAATGACCTAAAGTTTATCTAGGGAGTAAATTTCCCCATCTAATTTGCATATTATGACGTCATATGGTGGCGGCCATATTGGATTATATAATTTCCATGAAATACCTGATATTTTGAAAGAGAGTTGAATTTACTTCATCGGATTCACCCCCCTCCATCTATTTGTTATGTTGTCCACATATCAAATGAACAGGGAAAAGTAAATTGTAAGCCAACAGTCGTAAACTAGAACTATTACTACCATGTAAACAGTAGGCGTTTTTTATGATTTTTTACCCACCACCACCCCCCCTATTTTTCCCCACTTTTTCTTTTCTTTTTTATTCTCTTCTTCATTATTATTATTATTATTATTATTATTATTATTATTATCATTATCATTATTATTATTATTATTATTATCATTATAATATGATAATAATAACAGTAGGCGTCTTTTAGCTGCAGAGGCCTAATCTGTGCCCATCTATCCAGATAAAAGTTTGTAGTATTTGTAGAGTGTGGAATCTAGTATGAACAATATTGAGACCCCACTACATAGCCTAACAAATGGACAGGCACACCACTGCTGCATTGGATGGCTGCGCCACATAGACGCACTGTGACCGGCGCCGTAGAAAGAGTGAACACTAACGCTGGTCCCAGCGCTATTCTCACCACCCCCGCTACTTCTACCACATCCATTAGCTCCCTTACTGATACTACAAGTTCGTGTAGTGCTAACACACAAGCACAACACACAACCCTTTGCCCACCTATGTTGGGCAAAGGGTCGTGTGTTTGTGCTTGTGTGTTTTCCTCGCTTTGGCGGTTGCTTCCCAGTAGAGGTGGGTAGTCGAGTGTTTGCAGGTAATTCCATCAGTAATACGGGACTGAGCAAAAGAAGCATTATCAAGCCTCTAGATTGATCTGGTTGAAAAGGGGTGACTGGTGAAGGCATTAGAATGCCATTTGAACACAGGCCGAACCCTGATCAACCTCAGGTGGATAGCCTGGACACCCAATTACTCCAGGATACAACATTAAAGATATATTCAAATATGTGAATCAGAATGTATGCATGTGAGAACTGTTGGATAACCTGTTTCATGATAGTGTTACAAACAATTTAGTTGGAACTGAAATGCTAACTGTGAGCCAGGCCTTATTGGCCAACATCAGTTTCGGACCCCACTAATGCTTTTGTGGCTGAATCTTCTGTCTTGCTATAATTTGAAAGAAAAAGTGGTGGCATCTGTTGTCACATCTGGTTTTAGTTTGTTTAACTTTATCATTCTGGCCAATGTGATAAAACACGTGATACGTGAAACAAAAGTGATACTTTTACACACTGATACAGTTGGTTCAGAAGATTTTTGCTCTGAAGCTGGACATTAATTCTATCTAAATAAAAACAATTTTCCTGCTGAAATCTGGTCATTAATCTAAAAAATAACCGTATTTCTTTTATCCTGCAAAGCAGTTCAACACAACCAACATATAACTGTCACCCACACAAAGGTGTCTGTGATTCAGATAATGATAATGAGCGACTCTTCCCACTGCCTGCTGATTTACTAGTCTATGACTCAGAAGAAAAGCAGGCTTTCACAGATAGGGAGGCTCCTTTCAGTCTAGGTGTGTTGTTCTTTTTGGTTGTGAATGAATGGAATTTTAGCTTACAGGTTGTAACCCATTAGCACCATAAGCTTTGTTTCTGATTCATTGCTGTCCCTGATTCACTGTTGCAATCCATCCTCACATCTTCAAGGATCAAGGATTAAAGTCATTTATAGTTTCATCTTCACATAAAAAGAAACCGTGTACATCCACTTTTCTGTGTCTTAGTACAAAGCATCATTGATGTAAACAGAGTCTGTCTCTTCTAGATCTGCGCTCTGTTGACTTGCAGCATGGTCCGCCCTGCAAGGAACCTGGATGTTGGAGCAGATCTCTGTAAAGATGTGGCTACAACAGTCTCTGGTTTCTCATTTTGTCCAGACCGGACATTAGCCAGGAGCAACCTTAAGTCCAAGCTAGGCCAGCATGGCTTCTATTTTGCCTCTCTTCCTCTCCTCCTGGGGTGACAGCACCCGCTGTGGTGGGCTGCTCCCGTCCAGTCGATCTTACTCAAGGTCTGCTGCTCTTTAATCCAAACCTAACACTTCCTTTTCTGATGACTGAGGGCTATTTTGGCTGCGGCATCTGAATGTGCAGCTGTTGGCATAGTCAAAATCTCCTGATCCAGTCTGTTTGAACAATTTTTATTTAGCCATTTAAAATCAAATCCAATCAGACATCATTCAATGAAGCAGAAATGACCATGTATAACAAACAAACAAATACAAAATCCTGACTTAAAATAGTTATTGTATGAGGTTATACAAGGTCATTGCTGTAAATTAGAATCAGTTTATGTCCTAAAACTAGTTTTATGTTTGTTGAAATGAGACAGGCTCGCTCTAAAACACAAAGCTGATCTTTTCATCTTCTGTCACCAATCAAACTAACAAAGAGACCCAACTGTGATGGTAGGCAATGGCTCATGCTGTTTACCTCTTTCTCTCTTTCTCACAGTTTAGAAACATTTTTATCTTTGTCTCACACAAACACACACATGCTTTGTTTTGAGACCTTTACTACTCATTTTGTTGGAAGGTATAAAACTACATTAATGTCTACTATCCACTGCAAGGTTTAAAATATATTTAAAAATAAAAAAAACACATTTCCTCCCTCTTCCACACAGCGTGTAGTTTAGGACAGTTTCATCACTATGTCCCTTTATCAGAACTACATTACACTACTGTTTTGCATTACATTAATTAAGTGCGAGCTTGACTTTGCAACTGGTTGAGCTGAGTTAAGAGAATTTGAAGACATTTCTTTTGTAGCACAATTCATACACAAAGTGCTCTAAAGACATTTAAACCCTTCCAAACCCCCTTTTGCTCTGTATTTTAATAACAGTTCAGAAAGCCTCTGTCAGAAAATAAAAGTGGTCAACTTTCTCCTTTCCTGTACTTAGATATGCTATGTGCTAGGCTAGTCTATGTTGAAAAGACAACTATATTTTGAAGATGGTTAAAAGATAACAGCTACATATAGTCACATATCAAGTGAGCTAAGTTAGCGAAAGGTTAGCTACTAGCTAACAATTTAGGTACATTAGCTCGCTAGTTAGTCAGTGTTTTGCTGACATTAGTAGCAGTAATAACCTTCAGTCTATGTCATTGAGGTACACAAGCACATTGTCATTGTTATTTAGGCAGACACCCTCTCCACATTCAAGAGTAGGCTTAAGACATTCCTCTTTGATAAAGCTTATAGTTAGGGCTGGATCAGGTGAGTCCTGAACCATCCCTTAGTTATGCTGCTATAGGCCTAGACTATCGGGGGATTTCCCATGGTGCACTGAGCTCCTCTCTTCCTCTCTCTTTCTGCACTCATTCATGTTCCTTTAATGCATGTTACTAACTTCACTTCTTCCCCGGAGTTCTTGTGCTTTCTCGTCTCGCAGGTTCTCATGGATCCTGGTGGAGCCTCCTGCCATGGTCCTGCTTGACTGCCATTGTCAATACTGTTGTTGCTGTGCACCTGTCTGTCTGTCTGTCTGTCTCTCGCTCTCTCTCTCTGCCTCTCTCTCTCTCTCTCTCTCTCTCTCTCTCTCACCCCAACTGGTCGAGACAGACGACCACCCACCTAGAGCCGGAGGATCTGTCCTAGGTTTCTGCCTTTTAACAGGCAGTTTTTCCTTGCCCTTGTCGCCAAGGTCTTGCTCATGGTGGTACTGTTGGGTCTCTGTAATTAATGTTAAAGAGTTCGGTCTAGACCTGCTCTATTTGAAAAGTGTCCTGAGATAACTTCTGTTATGAATTGGCGCTATACAAATAAAATTTAATTGAATTGAATTGAATTTACAGTAAATCACTTCAGATATAATCTTGGCTCTCATTTACATAAAAAAAAACATATTTAATCCCATTAATTTTATTTGCTATTATTAGTGCAGTATTTCCTTGATTTGTGCATTTAAAATAAGCATGTACACACAATACTGACACACACAGTGTGTCTCACAGTGACAGGTCTCACGGGACAGGTGACAGCGACAGGCACATGCATTAATTAACCACTCTGGGCCAGGTGCATTGTGTGTGTGTTAAAGCTGCATGAAAGGAAATGGATTAGTGGGGTAGCAGGGTTGTTGCATTCTGAATGAGTGATGCTATAGAATTGATGTGATGCTGTGACCTTTGACACTGGATAATGCATAATAATAATGGTCCCATTCTTCATGGCTAATCTCAGAGGTCATCACATTTACAGTTACAATGACAAACACACTGAAGGAGCACCACAGCAACCAGGCAGAAGAAAATGGTTTTAAGCAAGTCAGGGGTCTCCAGTTTTAGTAGCTACCAGGTGAACACTTGACTCTGATTGGTTATCTATGAGATATACTAACTACTGTAGCTAGCCAGCTTATCTACCCAGCAAATAACACTGGGAGGGGGTACCACAGATAATGTCTGCAACCAAAAAAGCTGCAGTAAAGTCAGAGAATGCAGGATGCAAATGGAAAATGTCCACATTAAGGACATTTTGAAAATGCTGCTAATGTAGCTTTCTAAGGGTTGTTCCGTACTGTTAATATCCATAAAATATGTCACTTAGTGAGTGGTTGTCAGTTTACTCAATGATATAAAAGGGGTCCCTTCAGGAAAAAAAAGGTTGGAAACCACTGCCTTAATGTGTACTAGTTAGAACATTTAAGGAGGTTTCACAATGAGACAACTGTAAATAGCTGTGTTCGTGTTTTGCGTGTTGGTCATTCATGGGTGTGAGTATTTTATTGACAGCAAACTCAATTTCATAACAAACCAGCCATGGTTAGGTCACTCATTTCATTTTTCTGCACACTATTTGAACTTTGTACGGATCAAACATTATCAAAGCAAAAATAAGCCATTATGTTCCCTTAAATGCATCTCATCTAGCTGAAGTGGTGCAATGTGAAAGCAATTATGTGTTCAAGTCCTCGATGGTCATTGCCTGTGCACCTCTGCTTGATCCTGATCTTCCATTAGAGGATGGCAGCAATGCTGCTTCAGGTGGTTGTGCAACACAGCACACATGCAATATTTGAAAACTCTAAATTAAAGCTGTTGTAGGTAACATTTATACAAATAAGTTTTTGTCTAATTTGCTATAGTTTTCACTATATCCTGACAGTAGTACACGAGACAGATAATCTGTGAAAAAAATTCAGGTTCCTCCTAGTGCTCCTAATGGAATTTGCAAGAATTAAAGCTACGGTCTGTCCGAGGTTTTTTGCCTCTTAAAAGGAAGTTTTTTCTTGCCGCCGTCGCCAAGTGTTCTACTTGAAAAGTGTCCTGAGATAACTTTTGTTATGAATTGGCACTATACAAATAATATTGAATTGAATTAAGATTTAATCCACCGGGCTTGAATGAAAAACACCAATCAGAGCCAAGAATGATAGTTGATTGAGCCTCCTTCCCAAGTTGTCAGATACCAATGCTTTAGGACCTGGGAATGAGACTTAGAAGTCTCTCATAATAGTTCATAAGAGTTCTGCACTGGCTTTGGTATCCATGGAAATGGGTAAAAAATATGTATTTATAAAAATTAATATATTCAATTCTAAATATTATCATGCCTAATCAGCCACAAGGATTTTCTTTTATTGCGATAGCTGCAATCGCACATCCTCTCTGAGGAAACATACAGCTGGAACAGGACAATGCTGCGCCAGTTAACAACACAATCTGCCAAAACTAACCCAGTTAGCGGTACAGTTGTGTATAGGGACATCAGATCATTTGAAATAGAGTTAGTAGCAACAGTTGGTGATTGATTCAGCCAAAGAGATAATTATGATTTCAATTCAACTAGATGTGGGCGATATATATCGTTTGCGATAATATCGTCGTTGTTTTGACGATGTGTAAATTTCCATTATCGAGTATTTAAATTAGTTAGCCAAAAATATTGAAACGCACGTGGAAACTCCTCACATCCACTTAATACACAGTGCAGCAACGCTCTCTACAGCATGGCAGGATTCAGTCACATGACTAGTGGGCCTACATGATCACATGACGTGATCACATGACCTCTCGCTAGCATCCTCCTCTCTACGATGGTAGAGAGAAAATGCAAGCACCTCCAGTCCCTGTAGCTACCGGTACTTCAGATGATTTAGTGCCGATACATGGGTCTACCTCTCTGGCATGGAAATGGTTTAGTTTCGAAAATACTTTTTTAGCGCAGCGCTCAGAGTGCTTCAAGTTGAAATCTGTTCAACCTTTAACACTGCTCTCAGCCGAAAAAACGCGTTTGGTGGACACAAGCCCTGACTCAGACAATTCCAATCACATTTTAAAGGATATTGACTGATTATCATTATCGCCAAAATCCCCAAAAATAACGAGATATTATTTTTTGCCCGTATTGCCCACCCCTACGTGTAACCACACCAGCCCAGGACCTCCACATCCAGCATCTTCACTTCCAAGATCGTCTGAGAACGGCCACCCGGACAGCTGCTGCAACAATCGGTTTGCATAACCAAAGAATTTCTGCACAAACTGTCAGGAACCGTCTCAGGGAAGCTCATCTGCATGCACGTCGTCCTCATTGGGGTCTCGACCTGACTGCAGTCCGTCGTCGAAACCGACTTGAGTGGGCAAATGGCGTCTGGCACTTTGGAGAGGTGTTCTTTTCACGGATGAATCCCGGTTTTCACTTTACAGGGCAGATGGCATACAGTGTGTATGGGGTCGTGTGGGTGAGCGGTTTGCTGATGTCAACGTTGTGGATCGAGTGCACCACAAACTGCACATTTTCAAGTGGCCTTTTATTGTGACCAGTCTAAGGCACACCTGTGCAATACCCATGCTGACTGATCAGCAGTGCTCACTAACACAGATTTTGACAGATTTGTGAACAATATTTGAGAGAAATAGGCCTTTTGTGTACATAGAGAAAGTCTTAGATCTTTGAGTTCAGCTCATGATTAATGGGGGCAAAAACTAAAGTGTTGCGTTTATAATTTTGTTCAGTGTATTTACAAAACAATATGTACATTTTATATTAAATAAATCTATTAAAGAAATGACATACCTGTGGGAAGTTTAATTTAATTATTAATATGTATACTAAGAAATAGCACTAATCCAGCTCTCAAAAATAGCATTAATTTCTATAATTACATAAGGACAGTGATTAATTAATAATTTCAATCTATTTAAGCTCATTAAAACCAGAAATGCAGTACTTTAATGGTTGATTTATGTGGGAATAAGCGCATGGTGGGAGGACTGAATATCAGTATGCGTGCCTGTGTCTTTGTATTTAGTATGTGTGTGTGTGTGTGTGTGTGCTGAGTGTGTATGAATCATATCCAGAACCAGTCTTTGAATCCTTCCTTGTGTGAATCTCCAGCTCTCTGGAGTAGTGCCAAACGAGATCAACTGCAGTGGAATTCCATTTCTTTGCCAAAACACAAACACATCAATTACAGCCCACCCCAGCTCTCCCTCTGATCCCTGCCATCCATCCCTTTACCCTGCAACTCGCAGTGCTCCTCTCCTCCTCTGTCATCTCCCTCTGTCCCTCATTTCTGCGAGAGGGACCACGGGGGAATTAAGCAAACATATGTGAAAGGCTCAAACGTATATGTTCCACACGCCGTTTTCCTATTAAAGCCAGATTTAAATATGCAAATTAAACATGTAAATACGTGGGAGAGCGGGGTGTCTTTGCATGTTGAAACACGGCCCACGGGAGACTGTGCACTCTTTCATCTCCAGTTTAGAGCTCTTACCATTGGGTGTACATGTTGATGTGCACATATGCATAAATCTGTGCTTTAAATATGCTCATGTACGTTTTTTGCACCTAAGTAGAACACTTAGGAAGCATCACTCTGCAATTAGAAACAATCACCATCAAGACATTTTGTCTGACGTTTGTGTTGGCATTCAAGAGAGCCACGATCCCTGATGGCCTTCATTCTCCACAGGAGAAATATTAGCAAAGCTAGTGATTGGCAGTTGGTAATGTTAGTATGCCCTTCATAACGTTCGGCTTGATATTACCGCGGCTGCTGATTGAGAAAACGCACTCGTATCCAATTACATAGACGTGTATTTCTACACATCCTGTGCTAATAAATGCCCTGGATTCATGACTGCTTAATCTCAGGGGAGACACACGCAGAATGAGATCCTGACTGCAGCAGTGCTGAGGAGCCTACTTTTTTATCACTGGCCACCCACACATTGTGAGAGTTAGTGTAGTCAGAGGAGACAGAGAGCTGATGGAGGAAGGTGCTTGGGAAAGAAAGAAGGAGGACAGTTGGCAACATTTCCACACAAATAAATGTCCAAACAAATACTAGCTGATCCAATTATTAAACTCATTGTTACTTAGAGAAGAAAAAACTTTTTTTTTTCTACTGCAGGTGTAGATTTGGGTATGTTGTTATATTCTTTTATTTATTTATGCATTTAAGGATTTGTATTATGTTTTGTTTGTGAGGATATATAGTATGTGAGCTTGACATTTTCTTTGTTCTGTCTGCTGGTTTGTTAAATTAAGCCAGCTTACTGTATAGTTTAAGGATGATTAAAAAAGGCTTAAAGGTGTAGGCTTTAGTGGCATCTAGCGGTTGCAGTTGCAACCAAGTGAACACCACTCGCATCAGTATTTGATGACCTGGAAGTCAGAACGGGATGTGATATT